TCCAAAGTCTACAATCTTAATTGTAACTGCTGATAAGTACAAAGGTGATTATAAAGGCACATTTACAATTCCTAACATTGCTCAATGTCCTGTATTATAATTTCCATCTCCTCTCAGCACATGGTGGATGTGACAAGCAACAATTCTTGGCCTTACTTGTTAAAGATTAGTTATAAAATTAACTTTTATAACTGTTACTTTCTGCACCAAGTTCCTCTCTAGGAAATCACCACCTGATTGAAAATGAGATGAACTTCTAGAAGAATTACTAATGTCAGCCTCTGTGTTTCAAATGATGGGCCCCAAGAGCAAGAGATGTAGAAGTTGGAAACAGACAAGATGTAGAAACCCTATCGTGACTGCTTTTGTTCACATTTGTAGCCCAAGACCAGGCTCAGAGTCTGACACACAGCAGGCACTTAATAAAAATGCGGCTTACAGGAAATATTTCTACCCTCCTCTAAAACACACATGGAGAAAAGAAAAGGAAATGAAAATGAACCAGGAAGAATACTATAAAGTTTGATCTAATAAAGGTTCAGTGTGTGTGGTGACTTCATGCCTGTAATCCTAGCACTCTGGGTGGCCCAGGCAGGAGGATGGCTTGAGGTCGGGCGTTTGAGACTAGCCTGAGCAAGAGTGAAAACCTCTCTCTACTAATAATAGAAAAATTAGCTGGGCGTCATGGTGCATGCCTGTAGTCCCAGCTACTCGGGAGGCTAAGGCAGCAGGATCACTTGAACCCAGGAGTTTGAAGTTGCTGTGAGCTAGGCTGACACCACAGCACTCTTAGCCTGGGCAACAGAGTGAGACTCTGTCTCAAAAAAAAGAAAAAAGAAAGAAAGGTTCATTGTGTGCCTGCTCTGGGCAAGTCACTGGGCACACAGTATGTTGCTCTCCAGAGTCAGGACTGCAAGCAGAGAGATGGGCAACCTTCTACTTACCTGGTTGAATAGAAGTCAGTACAACCTTTCTGAAAGGCAATTTTGCATTATAAATCAAAAGTTTGAAAATATATTTAATTTTGGTCTAGTAATTTCATTTTGTCGTAAAATGTTATTGCCTAAGAAAATAATAATGCATGTTCACTCAATCATTCAACAAAGATTTACTACGCATCTATAAAGGGCTAGGCTTTGTTCTAGGCACTAAAGACATAGCTGGAAACAAAACTGAGGAAGTCCCTTCCTTCCTGGATTTTTTACATTCTAATTGGGGAGACCAATGGTAAGCAAATGGGTAGGTAACATAATGTGTAGGATAGTGAGATCTACTACTTAGAAATATACAGCAGGGGCAAGTGGCTAATGCCTGTAATCCTAGCACTGTGGGAGGCCGAGGTGGCCTATCACTCAAGGTCAGGAGTTCAAAACTAGCCTGAACAAGAGTGAGACCCTGTCTCTACTATAAATAGAAATACATTAATTGGCCAACTAAAAATATATAGAAAAAATTAGCCGGGCATGGTGGCGCATGCCTGTAGTCCCAGCTATTCAGGAGGCTGGGGCAAAAGGATCACTTGAGCCCAGGAGTTTGAGGTTGCTATGAGCTAGGCTGATGCCACGGTACTCTAACCAAGGCAACAGAGTGAGACTCTTTCTCAAAAAGAAAAAAAAAAGAAATATACAGCAGGTACCGGTGTGGGGGCAGCTAATTTAAACAGGTGGTTAGGGAAAACCTCTCCAAGGGGGTGATATTTGAATGGAAATCTGAATAAGTGTGGGAGTGAGATATACAACTGCCCAGAGAAAGAATGTTGAATGTTCTAGCAGAAGGATTAGCAAGTATAAAGGTCCTGATGCAGGAATGTGTTAGGTGAGATTGAAAAAAATATCACAGGAGGCTCACTTCACACCCATTAGGATGGTTATTATCCCAAAACCGGAAAACAACAAGTGTTGGAAAGGAGAAATTGGAACTATTATACATTGCTGGTGGGAAGGTTAAAAGGCATAGCCACTGTGGAAGACAGTATGTCAGCTCCTCAAAACATCAAACAGAATTACCATATGATCCAACAGTTCTACTTCTGGGTATATACCTGAAAGAAATGAAAGTAGGGACTCAAACAGATTTGTACATTCATGTCCATACAAGCATTATTCACAATAGCCAAAGATGGAAACAACCTAAATATCCTTCGAGGGATGAACAGATAAAGAAAATGTGGTACATACATAAAATGGAATATTATTTAACCTTAAAAAGGAAAGAAATTCTGACACATGCTACACAGATGAACCTTGCAAACATGATGTTAAGTGAGGTAAGCCAGACACAAAAGGACAAATATTATATGATTCCACTTATATAAGGTTCATAGAATAGTCAAATTCAAATAGAAAGAAAGTACAGGTAACACCTGTAATCCTAGCACTCTGGGAGGCTACGGCGGGAGGATCGTTTGAGCTCAGGAGTTTGAGACTAGCCCCAGCAAGAGCAGGACCCCATCTCTACTAAAAAAATAAAAAGAAATTAGCTGGACATCTAAATATATATATATAGAAAAACTTAGCCGGGCATGGTGGTGCATGCCTACTAGTCCTAGCTACTTGAGAGGCTGAGGCAGAAGGATTGCTTGAGCCCAGGAGTTTGAGGTTGCTGTGGGCTGGGCTGTCACAGCACTCTAGCCCAGGCAATAGAGTGAGACTCTGTCTCAAAAAAAAAAAAAAAAAAAAGTACAGAGTGTCCCAAAAGTCTCCATACAAAGGAAAAATTTTATAAATTTTGTAATTTTAAATATTTTGTAAATAAAGGTATATTTAGCTATAATTTCCCATTTTCCCTATGTATGGTGACTTTTGGGACACCCTGTAGAATAGTGGTTACCAAGAGCTGGGAGGAAGAAGAAATGGGAAGCTATTATTTATTGGTTATGAAATCTCAGTTTGGAGTGATGGAAAAGTTCTAGGGATGAATGGTGGTGATGGTTGTACAACAAGGTGAATATACTTAATGCCACTAAATTGCATACTTAAAAAAGATTAAAACGGTAAATTTTATGTTAAATATGTATGCATACCACAATTTTTTTTAAATCACAGGAGGACTAATGTGGCTAGAGCACAATAAGCAAAGGGGAGAATGGTAGAGAACATGGAGGACAGGCAATAAAGGCCTCATGGGCAGGGAAAGACTGATGAGAAGCCACTGGGCAGTTATGACCAGAGGTGACAAAATCTGATTTACATTCTAAAGGCTCCTTCTGGCTGCTGTGTGAAAAGGATCAAAGGGGCAAGAACAGAAATAGGAAAGGGTTAGAAGGCCACTGCAGTCACCCAAATAATTCCTGAGATTACTTTGGAATCTCTCTTGAAGGTTTACAAACAGCATTAATTTGTGATCTACTCTTCATTTTGACAGTCGAGTGTGTATGTAAGAATTTGGGGCTTATTGCTTTAGCGTCCAGCAGGAGATTGATGCTCTCCCCAAGAGCACTTCCACTAGAAACCTAAGTCAACTCAAGACTTTCCCACAAGAAAACAATACCCTGCCCTTCCAGTCTCTTCTAGGGCTGGATGGGGAACAATAGGAATTGTTGATTTTCTAAATTCCCTTGAAGGGTGGTGTTAGCCCACTTCTGGGCCTCCTAGGTTTGTGGTGGTAAGCGTGGAAAACATTTGCAGAAGGGCCAGTTCCATGTACAGAAACACAGAATTGTTCTCATCTCTAACTCTACCAGGGGTGAGCAAATTTTTCTATAAAGGGCCAAAAAGTAAAAATTTTAGGGGCCACATATGGTCTTTGTTCTTCCTCGTTTTGTTTGTTTTAGTTGCTAGATCATATTAATTCTATATTTAATTACCATATAGATCATATGGAAATTCCTGGATCACACAGTAATTCTGTTTAATTTTTTGAGAGAGGAATCAGTACACTATTTTAACAGTAGCTGTACCACCAGCAATGAACAAGGGTTCCAATTTCTCTACATCCTAGCCAATATTTTTAATATTCTGAAGTTTTTTTCTCTTCATAATAGCTATCCTCATGCATAATAAGTGGTATCTCATCCTGGTTTTGATTTGCATTTCCTAATGACATGTGAAGGTGAACATCTTTTCATGTGTTTATTAGCCAATTGTATATATTCTCTGGAGAAAATTTAAGTTATTTGCCCATTTCTTGAGTTGTTTGTTTTTTGGTTGTTGAGTTGTATTTGTTTTTTACATTCCTTTAAACATGTAAAAAGCCATTTTAGCACATAAGCCATTTTAAACAAAGGCTATGGTCCATCTGATCCCTCAAACAATTCATTTTACATTTGGGGAAAGCCAAGCCCTGAGAGAGGCATTGATTTACCCTAGGTCTCCTGATTCTCAAGCAGTGGTGTCTTTAGCTACTACTTTATTCAGGCAACAGATATTTATTGAAAGCCTACTATGGGCCAGCCGTGGTGGTTCACGCCTGTAATCCCAGCACTCTGGGAGGCCAAGATGGGCGGATCATTTGAGCTCACGAGTTCAAGAGGAGCCTGAACAAGAGCGAAACCCCCTCACTACCAAAAATAGAAAAAATTAGCCGGGTATGGTAGCCCATGGCTGTAGCCCCAGCTACTCAGGAGGCTGAGGCAGAACAATCACTTGAGCCCAGGAGTTTGAGGTTGCTGTGAGCTAGGCTGACATCACGGCACTGTAGCCCGGGCAACAGAGTGAGACTCTGTTTCAACAAAAAAAAGAATGAGGCCGGGCACGGTGGCTCACGCCTGTAATCCTAGCACTCTGGGAGGCCGAGGCGGGCGGATTGCTCGAGGTCAGGAGTTCGAAACCGCTGAGCAAGAGCGAGACCCTGTCTCTACTATAAATAGAAAGAAATTAATTGGCCAACTATATATATAGAAAAATTAGCCGGGCATGGTGGCATATCCTGTAGTCCAGCTACTCGGGAGGCTGAGGCAGAAGGATTGCTTGAGCCCAGGAGTTTGAGGTTGCTGTGAGCTAGGCTAACGCCAGGGCACTCACTCTAGCCTAGGCAACAAAGCGAGACTCTGTCTCAAAAAAAAAAAAAAAAAAAAAAAAAGAATGAAAGCCTACTATGTGCCAGTCACCAAGTAAGGGGCTGTTACAGAAGTGAATGGAGAGGGGAATAAGGCATGAGACAAATAATTACACAGATGAATATATAATTGCAAATTGAAATAAGTGCTGGAAAGGAGAATAGCCTACTATGAAAGAGAATGATAGGCAAGGCCTTTTTTTCCCCCCGAGTACTTTGAGTTACTGTTTTATAAGGGTGCCATTTAAACCAAGTTCTGAAGGATAAATAAAAGTAACCGATATTAACAGAAGGGGAGGAAGAACATTCCTGGCAGAGGAAAAAGCATGTATGATGGGGTAAGAAATTCTATTATTTTATTAAAAGTGCTAACTAGGGTTTTAAGGGAGTACTAAAATCATTCCATTTTCTGTGAGGAGAATAGATTGGAGAGGTACAATAGATTAGAATGGAACAGAGTGGAAGCAGAGTGATAAGGTGGCAGGCTACTCTAAACATTCAGTTGGGAGTGGATGGGGCTCAGGCTGCAGCAGTGGTGGTGGAGATGGAGAGAGTGAGCAGGTTTGAGAATTATTGGGAGATTTACTCATTAGGACCCGGTGATAAACTAGATGGCAGGGGTAGGAGGACGGGAAGTTATGGAGAAGGACTCCAGGTTCCTCGCTTGAATGAATAGATGGTGGTGCCATGTACTGAGATGGAGAAGTCCAAGGAAGGAGCAGGTTTGGAGAGAGAAGTTCGAGAGTTCAATTTTGGATGTAGTAACATTTGGACCCCTATGAATCATCTAAGTGGAGCGATCAAATAGGGAGATGAAATATGGATTTGGAATTCAGAGAAGTGGACTGAACAAAGGTTAAATTGAGTGTTGGTGCTCATCATTACCACTGAACAATGCTGGATAGGCCAGGGAGACACAGTAGCAGGAACACAGACCTGAGCTGGGCATCAGGGGATTTGAGTTCTAATTCTGTCACTAACCACCCTCTCTGAGCTTTAGTTTCACCAGTAACACAAGGAGCTTTGCCTAGGTCAGGGCTTCTTTTAACGTTTTTTGGATAAAAATTACTTCTTCTCCTGCAAAATCAATACACAAAAAAATTATACATTATTTCAGGGGTTCACCCAGTTCCTGGAACCTTTCCATAGAGACTAAATTAAGAATTCCTAGGCTATATGGTCAGACAACTGAAGTTTAGGAGGCCTTCCTTGTATACACTTTAAATATTTCTTGGTCCTCCAGGTTCCCATAGAACTGTGGACCCCAAGCCCCAAGGCCACTGACCGGCACCAGTCAGTGGCCTATTAAGAAGTGGACAGCACAGCACAGGTGAGCAGAGGGTGAGAAAGTGGAGCTTCATTTATATTTATAGCTGCTCCCCATCTCTTGCATCTTCGCCTGAGCTCCACCTCCTGTCAGATCAGTGGCAGCATTACATTCTGCATTATGGTGAGTTGTTCAATTATTTCATTATATATTACAATGTAATAATAATAAAGTGCACAATAAATGTAATGTGCTTGAATCATCCTGAAACCATCCCCCTCATCCATCCCTGGTCTGTGGAAAAATTGTCTTCCATGAAACAGGTCCCTGGTGCCAAAAAGGTTGGGGTCCACTGCCCTAGACATTATGACAGGTATTAAACCATGGAGAAGGGACACCAGGGCCTAGGTCTCCCTTGCTTTCTACTAAAAAGTATCCATTTCCATGAAGCTAGCCAGTGTATCCAACATACAAATGGAAATAAGTGCTGGAAAGGAAGAGAATTGGCTGCTATGAAAGAGAACAGGCAGGCCGGGCGCGGTGGCTCACGCCTGTAATCCTAGCATTCTGGGAGACCGAGGCGGGCGGATTGCTCGACGTCAGGAGTTCGAAACCAGCCTGAGCAAGAGTGAGACCCCGTCTCTACTATAAATAGAAAGAAATTAATTGGCCAACTAATAAATATAGAAAAAATTAGCCGGGCATGGTGGTGCATGCCTGTAGTCCCAGCTACTCAGGAGGCTAAGGCAGCAGGATTGCTTGAGCCCAGGAGTTTGAGGTTGCTGTGAGCTAGGCTGATGCCACGGCACTCACTCTAGCCTGGGCAACAAAGCGAGACTCTGTCTCAAAAAAAAAAAAAAAAGAGAACAGGCAAGCCTCTCTGAAGATGCCACCTACTCATTAATGTTTACCTTCTTTTACTCTTTCTTCTTAGCTTATGCTCTAGATAAATTGGACTATACGCACTCTCCTCTTTCTTGGAATGCCCTTCCTCCATCTTCACATGTCCAAACTCCACCCATTCTTCAAAGCCTCAAATGCTTTCTCTACTTCCCCTACCCCTTCTCTCAAACTAAAAGCAATCTTGGCCTACTTTGCACATCCACATACTTTCCATCCCTCTTAAGGTACTTGTCATGGTTCCTTTGTATTATAGTTGTCCATGAATCTTGCTTCTCCTACTAAAAGGAAGGAGCAGCACCTGTTACCTTTTATAAAGAGCATTCACACATATCCCTTACCCCATCTAAGTGAGAACTGGATCCCAGCCACCACTGCACAGCTCAGATCTTGGTCCCTTGCCTTGTCACCAGCCCCATCTGACTTCCTAGTGACAGCTCCTTCACCCCTCGCCAGTGTCCATTCTTCATACTGATGTTGGATATTTTTCTTTAAAGTCCAATTATGTCACTTCTCTGATTAATATCTACATCAGTGGCTCCCAATTGCCTTCCTCAGGAGTTCTCAACTTTAGAGTTCTAAACTCCAGATTTTGCACTGGCTGGATTTTGTGTGAAATGTTCCAAATACTTTCTCATTATTAATAAAGTACTAATTAAGCAATTTACACATGTAGAGCACTTAAGATTAATGTCCAGCACATAGTAAGCATTATACAGGTGTTAGGCATTATTAACACTAAAATGTTAAGACTTATGAGAAAGGTGAAGCAGACTTTTGGTGCACCGTAGACATTCTGTGGCCACTTCTGGTTTCAGCTGCAGGTGCATCAGACATTTCTGTGCAGGTTGACAGCATCTCTCCTCAAGCGTCCTCTGGGTCTTTCTGCTTTTCTGCCCCAGAGCTTCCTCTTCTCAAAATGTCACTCACCCCATGAGCAGGGCAGCCCAAAAGTACAGGGGCATTAGTGGAGATTAATTTTCATCCAGTGAATACCTTCCCTTCATATATTATTACAACCACCACCATGATCCAGGGGGCAATAACAGAAATCTTAAGTCCAGCTTGGTAAGTGTTTCACCCCTTGACACCTGTATCAATACCTAAGGTAGTACAGAACTCCAGGCCACCTGCCTTACCCTCTGATCCTCCTGCTTTTGGCCTACTAACTACTACATGATGAGAAGGGCAACACCTGAGCATCTGCTGCTTGAAAAAGAGTCAATGGGCCAGAAAGGAAAATAAAACAGAGACAGCAAGGTCACAGGTCACACCAGTAAGGGGGCAGGAAGAGGGAGTGGAGGAGTCTTGAGAGCTAACCTTTCTTCTGCCTTAGGCTAAAAGTGAAGTTAAAACAGCCTGAAGGAGAGACTTAAATGAAGCACTTCCAGCCACAACCAAGACAGAAGCGAAAGCCGAGACTGAGACTGCGCAGGCGCAGAGAAGACTAGCCAACCTCACAAGCTCGCCCCGGGGCCTCTACCCGACAGGAAGCACAGAAAGAGCATAGCCACCAACGCGGGAGTCCTGTGTGCCCTCCCCTTCCTCGTGAGGACCTCAGACCGTCCAGAATATGTTTGAGAGCCTGCCTGCTGAGGCCAAGGGGCTGACCCTCGCTCCCCGCCCAGGCCGAACCTGGACAGCAGGTGCCAGCCGCGAGTGAGACGCCAGGACAGGAAGGGGCCGCCAGGCCTCTCAGGATCAGCTTCCTCGTCACCGTTCTCACCTCTTTGTCTGCCGCCTTTTCCTCAATGCCTAGCAGCGCGTACAGGTCCATCTGTAAGAGCTCCTTGGTCACCGCCATGGTTCCAACCCTGACTGGATTCGTACTACAATTCCCAAGAGTCTAAGCGTGAGTGGGGACTGCTGGCTGCGAGTGGCGCTTAGCCCTCTGGGAATTGTGTTCTGAGTCAGGCTTGACTGACTCAGAGGGAGGCCGACAGTCGTGAGTGCACTACGACTCCCAGCAGCCCCCGCTCCCGCCACTGCCTTTCTGGTGCTAGGGGTGGGAGAGCGTCCGGATTCCCCGCCCCAGGCCGCAGCCGGACCGCGCGAGTGGGTGTGTGGGACAGAGCAGAGCTGGGTGAGGGTCCTGGGAGCCCTGGACCTGGGCGACGAGACCTCAGCTCTGCCGATTCTGCCGCGCTGAAAGCCGCTATGGAGAGCCGGTGCTACGGCTGCGCTGTCAGGTTCACCCTCTTCAAGAAGGAGGCGAGTCTTCTCTCCCTCAGGGATAGGGGGCCCGGGAGGACGCAGAGTGGAGGGAAGATTTGCAATCTGAAGACTTGGTCTTACAGCTTCTTTCGAGCTGTGAGATTTTGATAAAGTCATTGAGTCTCAGCTTCCATTTCTGGTCTTGAACTCCTGGCCTTAAGCGATCCTCCTGCCCGGGCCTCCCAAAGTGCTGGAATTACAGGCTTGAGGCAGAGCGTTGCTATCGTTTTTGAAAAGTTGTGCTTTTTCTGTGGGTCAAGTGTAGCATCCGGCTGTTTCCTCTCTCCGCCCTGCTGCTCCTCTGCAGCTTGGTGTCTATTACACCAAGCCCGTTACTCTCTCTGCTCTGAAACCTACCTCACCCCGCAGCCTGGGTTTCCCAGGTCTCTGGAGTTAGATTACCAAATTTACTCCTGCTCCCAGGGAGCAAGAACCAAAGACTCTCTTGTCCTCAGCACAGACCTGCCAAGTTCCTCTGGTGAACTGCAGGCTTCCCCTGCCGCGAATGTGGCCAGGGCATCAGACCAGGAGATGATGGGGCCCAGATAGGATGAATAAATAGTGCGTAGGGAGGCAGGACGTGTAGTACTTAGCACCCTGGGTTTTGGAGTCAGGGTTCATATTGGAGCTCTGCTGTGTTATTTATTCATGGGGTGACCTTGGTTTTGGGCAAGTCATATAACCTCTCTGGCAAATAGGGATAATAACGGTGGGCATCAGGATTAAGTAAAATAATATGTGTATATTGTGACAATTAAATCAGATGATGAATGTTAAGTGCTGAGTTTAGTGCCTGGCACACAGTGTGGGCTTAATAAATGGAATCTATTGTTATCCCATCCTGAGCCAAGCCTCCCTCCATCTCTGCTAGAGTAGAGAAGTCATGGCTCTTTACTCTCTCTGATTCTCCTTTGTTGAAGAATCAGTGAGAGCAGCCCCCCCTGCAGCATGGGGCTTTACCTATCTGTATTCTACAGCCCTGTGCTGGGGAATTGAAAACCAGGGTATAAAGTATGGGAATGTTGCAGAAAGCTTTATTTGATTAGAATAAGAGACTGGAAACCAAGGAATTGCCTTATCTTCTGCCCCTGTCTCTCCCTAGGCCTTAGGGGCCCACTCCTCTTCCCAGCAACTGGTCACAACTTCAGTCCCTTCTCTCTCTATGTGTTTGGAGAGTTCCAGGGAGCAGCTTGCTGGGGAGAGGGTGAGAGTGGATCCTCCTGCTTCATGTTTCTTTTAGTATGGCTGTAAGAATTGTGGCCGGGCCTTCTGTTCTGGCTGCCTCAGCTTCAGGGCAGCAGTACCTCGGACTGGAAACACCCAACAGAAAGTCTGCAAGCAGTGTCACGAGGTACTGACCAGGTGAGAAGCAGATGGGTGAAAGTTCAGCCAAGTGTGGCAGTGGGCACTTGGCCAGCCTTTGCAGCCATGGGCCCTATGGCTAGAATCAGCCCAGGAAATGTTTGGAGTGGGAGGCACTGACTGGCAGGATAGCAGGACTTCTGACACTGGATTTCTTCTCTATAGCGGCTCTTCTGCCAATGACTCCAAGTGGTCACCACCTCAGAACTATAAGAAGTAAGTGCTGAAGAGAAAAAGACAAATGGGTCTGGGGAAAGGACAAGAGAGCCATGGGGTAGTACTCTCCTCTCAGCCTCTAGATCAGATGAGCACAGAGTCAGAATGCCTACCTCTCAGGCTCCTGACTGCCCACTTGGGCTTAGAAAACAGCTCATCAGCCCTTTCCCCAGAAAAACCAATTGGTAGATCTTGCCCTCTCAGCCATACCCTCTGGCTGGTTGGCTGGGTTGGGCTGCAGGGTGACATTAGCTAGGACCACAAATGATTGCCCACTGGAGGCCTCCCTAGATGCCCAGAAATGATTTGAATGGGAAACAGTAGGTAAGTGGGTACCTCCATTCCTTCTGCCTTTTTCCTTCTTCAAGAGCCTCTATCTCATATCCTACCAGGCGTGTGGCAGCCTTGGAAGCCAAGCAGAAGCCCAGCACTCCCCAGAGCAAGGGACTGACCCAACAAGACCAAGTCATAGCTGAGCGCCTAGCACGGCTTCGCCAGGAGAACAAGCCCAGTGAGTGGGGGCAGGCAGGGTGGTCTAAAAGACTGTGTGGAGCTTCTGGGACTGGGATTCCTCTGGCCCTTACAAGGCTCCCCCCATGCCAATTGCAGAGTTAGTACCCTCGCAGGCAGAGATAGAGGCACGGCTGGCTGCACTGAAGGATGAACTCCAGGGCTCCATCCCTTCTACCCAGGAGATGGAAGCACGGCTTGCCGCATTGCAGGACAGAGTTCCACCTTCTCAGACCCCCCAGCCGGTGAGTGCTATGGCTTAGAAGAAAAGGGGGTTCTAGGGCATTGACCTGGGAGAAGCCCAGATACATGTACTTTGTACTTTATGTACTTTGCAGAAGCTGGCAAAGCCTCCCACCCCTAACTCCTCCTGATCCTCAGGCCTGCTGCTAGGCCAAGGAACCAGGGACAAGCAGCAGAATTGGGCAGGGCAGGAAAGAATAGACCCCAGTCCTGTTGAGGACTGGCAGACCTACCCAGTTATGTGGGCCCTGGATCCATCCCCTTTGCTTGGGCTTTGAGAACTCCTGAACATCCACCCCTAACCTGGACTGCTGTAGACTACCCTGCACCCCACTGAGGTTCCCTTTTCTGGGCAGGCACATCAGACACCAGACACCAGGACCCAGGCCCAGCAGGCACAGGATCTGCTAACGCACCTGACAGCTGAGGTGGCTATTGATGAAAGCTTGGAACGAAGAGGCCCAGGTAATGCTTAGCTCCCCCAGGGACCTGCCCTACCTCTTTCCCTAGATGGGAGATGAACATAAATGAGAGAGTGATCAACATAAGAGCTACCATTTATTAAGTGCTTACTCCAAAGGGAGCCAGTGTGAGCCTGGCTTAAGTGTATAGGCTTTAGAATCAGACAGTGATTCCCAGTACTACCATGTATTAGCTGCATAACTCTGGGCAAGTTACTTGACTAGTCTAAGTCTTAAACTTTCCTCATCTGTAAAATGGAGGTATGTATGGTAAAACCTACCTCATGGGGAAGTCATGAGGAGTAAATGAGATAATCCAATAAGTGCTTGGCTTCTAGTAAGTGCTCACTGAATATTGTCTGCAATGATGATGATAAGGAGGAAGAAGCTATTTACATTTAACTAAAACTTAATGAAATTAAAAATTTAGTTGCTTAGCACTACCAGCCACATTTCAGATGCTTAATAGCCTCATGGGCTCATGGCTACCGTCTTGGATGGCACAGATATAGAACACGATATGGAATGTTTCTTCATCATAGAAAATTCTATTAGACAGTGCTATTTGGAAGGCTTGAAGAGCAGTGGTTTTCAACAAGGGATGACTTTGCCCCAAGGGCATTTTTAGCAATATCTGGAGAGTTTCTGGTTGTCAAAACTCAGAAGGTCCTACCAACACCTGGAGGGTACAAGCCTGGATGCCACTAAGCATCCTACAGTGCACGGGACAGCCTCCCACCACAAAGGATCAATACAACTAAGGTAGAGAAACTCTGCATTAGAGACATAATCTCATTGAATATCCTTAATAATCCTACGAAGTATATACTATTATTATCCTTATTTATAAATGAGAAAACTGAGGCCTAGTGAGCTTAAGGAATTTGACCAATGTCACACAGCTATTAAGTGGCAGAGGTGAGACTTGAACCTAAAGCTGTGGTTTCAAACCTCTTGCTCTGAAACTCTGCACTGAAGGTGATGTAAGAGCCACACCCACTCTGGTAAAATTCTTCCTGCCCAGTGATATACAAGACTTCAACTTCCTTCATGCCCTCTGTGCTGCACCCAGGAAATGTTAATTCCAGCCTTGAAAGGCAAAGACACTGGCTGAACCTTGGCCTTTCCATATCCTGATCCTTTAGGGCAGTGATTCTCAAACCATGGCCACTCACCTGCAGGGCAGCATGCCAGAGTATCAGGTGGGTGAGGATGGATGTGACTGAAAAAGGCATGTCTAAGATTACTACTTTGGAAAAATGGAGGACATACAAATTTCATTTGTAACATAAACCATAGGTGCTAGTGCTGAGCAAACAGTTGATGATCTGTGGTTAGAAAATAATTAAGATATGGGCTCAATGGCTTCTAAGGAAAGATCTTGAACTGTCTCTGCCTCCCTGTGTTAGTCCTTCCAGCTGCCTCTCTCCAGAATGACCTGAGCCAGGGTGGCCCAGGGAGCCAGAGCACTAATTCCAAGGGGCAGACCAGCTGGTCCCTGGACAAGGAGAAAAGCAGATTGCTGGCTGAGGCAGCAGTTGAGCTTCGAGAGGAGAACACAAGGCAGGAGCGGATCCTGGCACTTGCCAAGCGGCTGGCCGTGCTTCAGGGACGAGACCCTGATAGAGGTAAAGGCTGGAAAATACCCACTCGCTCATGTCTGTTGGTCAAGGCCTCCCCTCACTCCCAGGCCAAGCTCTCCCTCCCAGAGCTGAGTAGGTGCTGGGGGTCCCAGTACCCAGAGACCTGTTGAGTTCTGCCCAGAGCCACAAGGAAGGTACTAGGGCACAGCAGCTAATGAGGAATTAATGGCAGCCATCAGGGGACCTTTAGTCCATTGAGGTGCCCCCCAGCCCTCAGCTCTTGGGCAGGAGGGAGAGGGTCTGATCAGAGTGGCTGAAGAGGCTTCACAGCTCTGGAACAAGTGCACCTGGGAACTGAACCAGTTCTCTGAGGCAGCAGGGCAGGCATTCAGGTGAAATCTCTCACCCCCACTTCTCCTTCCCCTGTTCTTATCTCTCCTTCTTCAAGTGACCCTCCAGGACTATCATCTCCCAGACAGTGATGATGATGAGGATGAGGAGACAGCCATCCAGAGAGTCCTGCAGCAGGTTAGCCCTGGCTTACCCACCCGAGCACCCTGTGTCTTGCTGCCTCATTGCTCCACCTCCTGCCTGGCCCCGTTCACCCTGCCTCTACTCTGGGGCTGGATGGACAGTCACTCTGCAGCTCCTGTTCTTATTGGGGCTGTGTTGTCCCTATGACCCAGACCTGCCCCCTGGTCTCTTGAGATGGAGAATCAGCAGCCCCAGGCAGCAGGACCAGGAAGTTGAGTTGAGAAGCTAAGGCCAGAGAGCACAGAAATACTGGATGGGAGGGGGTGTGGGCAGGGGGCTGAGCCTGGAGCAAGGAGTGCTACCTCTCCACCCCGTCCACAGCTCACTGAAGAAGCTGCCCTGGATGAGGCAAGTGGCTTTAACATCCCTGCGGAACCAGCTCCCCGACCCCGGGCCCAAGCCCACAGGGCAGAGCCTGAGGTGAGAAAACCCCAGACACAGCCCCCAGGCTGCCCACAGCCGTGCTGCCTGCTTGGCTGACAGCTCCTATGGCAGCCAGGTGCCTTACTTCCCCCATTCCTCTCTGGTCCATAAAGGCCCATGCTGTGGACCCCAGGCCTGAGGCCGAGGAAGAGGAGCTCCCCTGGTGCTGCATCTGCAATGAAGATGCCACCCTGCGCTGTGCTGGCTGTGACGGAGACCTCTACTGTGCCCGCTGCTTCCGGTGGGTGCAGGTATCATGTCCTGTGGGAGGGCTGAAGGGCTGCATGGGATCCCTGACCTGCATCTCTTTGCTCCACAGGGAGGGCCATGATGCCTTTGATCTTAAAGAGCACCAGACATCTGCCTACCGCCCCCTGCACTTAAGCTGAGAGCACTGAGGAAACTGGTCCTCCCAGTGAGGCAGTCCCACAGGCTTGGCACCGACCTCTGGGCCCAGCCTCAGGGCGTCCAGTGGGAGAGCATGTCTGGCTGTACTGCTGAAGGCTCCTGAGCCTTCGCATCCCTGGAAAGAGGAAAGAGTCTCCATTTGAGACGATGACTGGAGGAACCAGGGGAAGGAAAAGTAGGGGCCCTCCTACTAGAAGCCCAGATGGGGAATGAGAAGCATGATGGGGAAAGATAGACTGATCTAAGATGAGCCCTGTAGCCTCGCTCAGGGCCCAGGACCCTCTCCTGGCTCTTAGTGGATCTAATAAAGTATCTGCTTTATTGGTTCATTGGGTCCAGCTTCTCTTATCTCTAGAACTCTCTGGGTCCTGAGCCTGAGCCCTGTGAGAGGTGGCAGGAGCAGAGTAGGCAATAAGCACAGTCCTGTGAAACGAAAGAAAAGGCTGAGCCATCCAGTAAGCTTCTCCAGGCAGGAATCCTGGAGTCATACATGAACTGTGGCGTTGGTGGTATAGTGGTTAGCATAGCTGCCTTCCAAAGTAAGCATGAATATTCATTCACCTGAACCATGCTTCCTGCTATGGGCCGCCCAGCTTAGCCACAGGCCCCACCATGTTGGATTTCTCAGCCTCTCTGCCACTCAAACAATGCATTCAGGAACAAGGGATACATACCCTGTTTTCCTGCCTTTCTCATCCCACATCCCAGGGCTCCCATCCCAACCTACCTGCCATTCAGACTCAGTATCTGACTTAAGGCAACTCCCCTGACCCAACCCCTGGCTTCTCAGCCTGTACCCTTTACACTCTCTGCATAGCTTCTGCTTTTTCTTTCTGCCTCTGGATGTAACTAACTCCAGAAAGAGTCTTCAGCCTGAGGCCTTCTGCATCATTTGTTGGTAGAGGAAGGTTTGGCCTTTCCTGATGCCCCCAGATCTAACTAGGTGTTTCCTGTTACCTCCCCTCTGGGATTCAAAACTAGTCTTTGCTACTGAGGCCCCTCTTGCTGGTGGTGCCAGGATATTGTGTGTCTCAGACAGATGCTCTCTGCTTGGCCTCTGGGCCTTGCTAGATTGCGATTTCTATGAAGCAGAGCCATGACCTTCATCTTTGAATTCTCAAGGCCTGTTTGGATGGACGGACAGATGGATGAGGTCTGTGGGTACAGCCTCTAGTGACTTAGGATGTTGGCCCTCCAGCGTATCACTTTACCCTCTCCCTCCCCGTGTCCCTCAGCACAGATGGGCTCCATACTCCATTTAGCTGGGGATCCTAAAGGTTTTATCCACTTGGCTGCCAAGGAAAGCACTGGGCAGCAGCCATGGTCGGCTCCCAGACAGCCCAGCTGACAGAAACCAGTTGTGACTGCACATACACTAGGTATGTACAAAATGTCCCTCCTTGTCCTCCATGTTCCTTGTCTGTGTCCGAAAGAGCTGTTTCCCTCTCAGCTGGGATCCAGAGGTTCAAGACAGGTCTGACAGCACGGAGGCTGCTGAAGATAGTCTCTCAGGGTTATTTCTGAGGCCGGCTGAGTCTCCGGAGTTTCTTGAGTTCACTGAGCATCTCAGAGATAAAAGGCTAAGGAAGAAACAGGAGTGAATCAAGGCATGGGGTCACATCCACCACCACACTGCCCTCCTAATCTCCCCTGACACTGTCTCCCTGGAGCCAAGGAAGGGAGAAGGACCCAGGGCCAAGCCTTCCTTTTAAATACTCCTCTTCATTAGCTCCCTTCCCCAACTGGGGCCCTTATTCCCAGATCAGGAGAACATTCCTTACCTCTGTGGGGCGAGGGCAGTTTTGGAGAATGGCCTGGGTAAGAGAGAGCAGAGTATAAGCCCCGAGCCACAGCACTTTCCCACAAGCCCCCACTCGGTCTCCCAAAAATTCTCCCCTGTGAATTGGTTCTCTACACCCAAGGAGGCAGAGCCTGGGTTCCTGGGTTCCCCTTGGCCCAAGCCCAGCTTCCAGCCCCTAGTCCCCTTCTTCCATCCTTCATCCTACCTCCAACTGAGTCTTCTGCTCCTCTGTAGATAGTTCCATGAGAGCCTCCAGGTCAATCTCAGGCTCAGAAGGGGCTGGTTGATCCTATTTGGGAATCACATGGGGCTCAGAGAGGCCTGACCAGCTGGTGCTGGAATGCAGTTTACTGTCAGAGTCAACCCATCTCCCTCCGATTTCCCATGTTCAGACTTCTTACCTTACTCAGAATGCCCATTCAGTTTTCCTTGCAACAAACTTACTGAACACCTACTATGTTCTACCTGAAACAGTGCCAGGGTTCTTTAAGGAATGTGCATGTTTAATGTCAAAAGTTACATACATTATTGGTAGGAATGTAATATGTTACTGCTGACTTGAAAAACAGTTTGGCAGTTCCTTAAAATGTTACATATAGAGTTTTCGTCTGTCCCATCAATTTCACTCCTAGGTCTATTGCCAAGAGAAATGAAAAGTTCACACAAAAACTTGCACATGAATGTTCTTAGCAGCATTATTCATAATAGCCAAAAAGTGAAAACAACCCAAATATCCATCAACTGACAAATTAATAAATATGTTATAGTCATACAATATTATTTGGCAATAAGAAGGAACGAAATACTGATTCATGCTACAACATGGACTAACTTTGAAAGCATGTTAACGAAAGAAGTCACACATTGTATGAGTCAGTGCATATGAACTGTCCAAAACAGACAAATCTATAGAGACAGAAAGTAAATTAGTGGCTGGCTACGGCTGGAAGTAGTAGTGGTGGGGAATTGGGTGTGACTGTTAATGAGGGTGGCATTTCTTTTTAGGGGATAAAATGTTCTAAAATTAAATTGTGATGGTCGCAAAACGCTGTGAACATACTAAAAGCCATTGAATTGTACACTTTAAGTGTATGAATTTTATGGTATATGAATCATATTTCAATAAAATTTTTTAAAAGTTATAGTCATTGAAAAAATCAATAGTGTTTATAAAAATAAAAATGAAAGAAACCTAAACGAATGAGAAGATGAGCCATAGACTAGGAGAAAAATGTTTGTAAAAGACATATAAAGGACTGTTATCCAAAATATAAAAAGAATTCTTAAAAGTCAATAATAAAATGAACAGCACAATTTAAAAATGGTGAAATGGCTGGGCATGGTGGCTCACACCTATAATCCTAGCACATTGGGAGCCAAAGGTGGGAGGATCGCTTGAGGCTGGAGATTAAGACCAGCCTGGGTAACATAGCAAGACCCCACCTCTGCAAAAAAAAAAATTTTTAATTAGCCAGGCATCGTGGCATACACCTGTAGTCATAACTACTACAGAGGGTGAGGCAGGAGGATTGCTTGAGCCCAGGATTTGAGCCTGCAGTGAGCTATTATTGGGCTAATGTACTCTAGCCTGAGAGACAGAGTGAGACCCCATCTCTAAAAAAAAAAAGAAATGAAAAATATGAACAGACAGGACACCTCGCCAAAGAAGATACAGAGATGGCAAATAAGCACGTGAAAAGCTGTTCAACATCATGTGTCATTAGGGAATCACAAAACAAAACAATGAAACACCATTATACACCTATTAGAATGTCAAAAATCCAAAACCCTGACACCAAATGCTAGCGAGAATGTGGAGCAACAAGAACTCTCATTCATTGCTGGTGGGAACGCAAAACTGTACAGTCATTTTGGAAGACAGTTTGGTGGTTTCTTGTAAAACTAAACATACTCTTACCTTACAATCCACCAATCACACGCTGTGGTATTTATCCAAATGAGATGCAAACAAGTCCACAAGAACCTGCACACACATGTTTTATAGCAGCTTTATTCATAATTACCAAAACTTGTAAGCAACTAACATGGCCTTAAATAGGTGAATGGATAAAAAAAATGTGGTATATCCAGACAATTGAATATTATTTAGTGCAAAAACAAAACAAGCTATCAAGGCATGAAAAGACATGAAGGAACCTTAAATGCATATTACTAAGTTAAAGAAGCCAATCTGAAAAGGCTGTATACTGTGATTCCAATTATATGATGTTCAGAGGTAGTAAAAAGATCAGTAGTTGCCAGGAGTTAGGGGGGAAGGAGGGATAACTAGGCAGAACACGGAGGATTTTCAGGGCAATAATATTGTAATGGTGACTACATGTCATTATACATTTGTCCAAACCCATAGAATGTACAACACCAAGAGTGAACCCAAATGTAAACTATGGACTTTGGGTGATACTGATGTGTCAATGTAAGTTCATCGCTTATACCAAATGTACCACTCTGCTGCCAGATGTTGATAGTGGAAGAGGCTTAGATGTGTGGAGGCAGGGGTATATGGGAAATCTCTGTATCCTACGCTCAATTTTGCTGTGAACCTAACACATCTCTAAGAAATCAAAGTCTGTTAAAAAGACGTGAGCTCAAGATTTAATAAAATTAATACATTTTTACTGCTTCATCAAAGACTTTCTTAAGTGAAAATGACGTGCTGGTAAAGAACAAACACTACTAGTACAATTTAGTGCCACTTTCTGGTTTTGTTTTTGTTTTTGTTTTGAGACAGAGGGGGGATCTAGCCCACCTGGGGTTCAGGAAGGCTTTTTAGAGGAAGTGACCTGAGACCTGAAGGCTGAGTAACAGTTAATCAGATATTTATGTGTCTGGTCATGGTGGAGTCACAGGAACCAGATTTATTCTCACAATGTAAGTAACTAGGAAACTAGACAAAATATATGAACAACGTTTTCAGACAGTAGATAACAGGTAGCTCAGGAATGTAATCCCACAGAGGAGGGAAACAAAAGAGATAGATTCTATAATTGCCCCATATTTCTTCCTGGAGGCAATTTCCAGATCACAGAGCAGAGATAGAGCTCCCACACAGAGCACAATTGTCCTGCTAGATTGATGGGACAGAGTCCTGGGAGGGTGAGGTGGCTGGAAGTTGCAGGACAAAGTTCTGGAGAGAAGGGAATTGGACAGAAAGAGACCCCCAGAAATCTGCATAAGCGTTTTCTCGAATCTTATTGAATGCTAAGGTGTATATCCACACAGTAAAACTTCACAAGACCTGGTACTACCAGGCATTGAAGGCACCGAGGTGAACAGTTCCAAGACTTCACACAGGACTGGGGACAAATCAAGTTCCAAATAACCAGAGTGGACAGTTATTGTTGATCATGCAGGAATTCAGTACACATCTCAAATGGTCATATTTTACTAGGAGGGTAAATAATTCCCTAGATTAATGGCTACTCTAGATTAACCCTAACAGAGCTTAAAAACAAGCTTCACACAGATCAAACTGAACCCTTAGTAATTTAACTGCTTACTAGAACAAAGCCAAACACCCACTAAAGGAAGATTTCGGCTGGGCGTAGTGGCTTATACCTATAATCCTTTTATTTTTTGAGACAGAGTCTCACTCTGTTGCCTGGGCTAGATTGCTGTGGCGTCAGCCTAGCTCACAGCAACCTCACACTCCTGGACTCCAGCGATCCTCCTGCCTCAGTCTCCCGGGTAGCTGAGACTACAGGCATGTGACACTGCTCCCAGCTATTTTTTTCCTATTTTTAGTTGTTTGGCTAATTTATTTCTATTTATAGTAGAGACGGGGTCTGGCTCTTGCTCAGGCTGGTCTTGAACTCTTGAGCTCAAGCTATCCCCCCGCCTCAGCCTCCCAAAGTGCTAGGATTACAGGCACCATGAGCTACCATGCCCAGCCTAATAAAGGAAGATTTTTAAAAGTCCAATTATTCAACATAAAATTCACAATGTCCAGTTTCCAATCAAAAATTAGTAGTCATAGGCCGGGCGCGGTGGCTCACGCCTGTAATCCTAGCTCTCTGGGAGGCCGAGGCGGGCGGATTGCTCGAGGTCAGGAGTTCGAAACCAGCCTGAGCAAGAGCGAGACCCCGTCTCTACTATAAATAGAAAGAAATTAATTGGCCAACTAATATATACAAAAAAAAATTAGCCGGGCATGGTGGCGAATGCCTGTAGTCCCAGCTACTTGGGAGGCTGAGGCAGGAGGATTGCTTGAGCCAGGAGTTTGAGGTTGCTGTGAGCTAGGCTGACGCCACGGCACTCACTCTAGCCTGGGCAACAAAGCGGGACTCTGTCTCAAAAAAAAAAAAAAAAAAATTAGTAGTCATGTGCTTGCTTTGGCAGCACATATACTAAAATTGGAATGATACAGAGATTAGCATGGCCCCTGCGCAAGGATGACACACAAATTTGTGACACGTTCCATATTTAAAAAAAAAAAAAAAGGTAAAAAAAAAATATTAGGCCAAGTGCAGTGGCTCATGCCTATAATCCCAGCACTCCTGAAGGTGGAGATGGGAGGATCCCTTAAGGTCACGAGTTCGAGACCAGCCTGAGCAAGAGCAAGACCCCATCTCTACCAAAAATAGAAAAAATCAGCCAGGCATGGTGGCACGTGCCTGTAGTCCCAGCTACTTGGGAGGCTGAGGCAAGAGGATTGCTTGAGCCCAGGAGTTTGACCTTGCTGTGAGTTAGACTGACGCCACAGCACTCTAGCCCAGGTGAGAGAGCGAGACTGTCTCAAAAAAAAGCAGTCATGCCAGGAAGGAGGAAAATGTGACCTAAAACTAGGAGGAAAACCAGTCAATCGAAGCAGACCCGAAAATGGTAGAGATGATGGAATTAGCAGACAAAGAAGACATGAACACAATAATGAGAGAAATGGAATCTCAGAAGGTGGGGATGGGGCAGAATAATAAAGATATACTCTAATGATTAGAACCTTGCCTCTAAACAAGTATCAACCCTGCCCCCAAAACCACTGTTATATCATTTATGACAGTCGATTTATGTGTAGTCGTGTACCACATAATGATGTTTTGGTCAACAATATACTGTATATATGATGGTAATCTGATAAGATAATAATGGAGCTGAAAAATTCCTATTGCCTAGTGACGATGTAGCTGTCATAATGTTTAGGCACAAAGTAATGTGTTTATGGTGATGCTGGTGTAAGTAAATTCACTGCACTACCAGTGGTATAAAAGTATAGCACAGGCCAGGTGCAGTGCTCACACCTGTAATCCTAGCACTCTAGGAGGCCGAGGTGGGCGGATTGCTCGAGGTCAGGAGTTCGAAACCAGCCTGAGCAAGAAAGAGCGAGACCCGGGTCTTGACTATAAATAGAAAGAAATTAATTGGCCAACTAATATATATAGAAAAAATTAGCCGGGCATGGTGGCGCATGCCTGTAGTCACAGCTACTTGGGAGGCTGGAGGCAGTAGGATTGCTTGAGCCCAGGAGTTTGAGGTTGCAGTGAGTGAGGCTGATGCCATGGCACTCACTCTAGCCTGGGCAACAAAGCGAGACTCTGTCTCAAAAAAAAAAAAGTATAGCACATACAATCATGTACAGTACACAATACTTGATAACAGTAATAAACAGCTATATTACTGATTTATGTATTTACTATGCTATACATTTTATCATTATTTTAGAGTGTACTCCTTCCATTTATGTAAAAAACAAAAAAAAGTTAACTGTAAAACAGCCTCAGGCAGGTCCTTCAGGAGGTGTTCCAGAAGAAGGCATTGTTACCATAGGAGATGACAGCTTCATGAGTGTCATTGTCCCTGAAGACCGTCAGTGGGACAAGATGTGGGGGGGGAAGGTATTGATGATCCTGATCCTGTGCAGCCGAGGCTAATGTATGTGTTTGTATATTCACTTTTAACAACAAAAGTTTGAAAAGTAAAAAAACAATAATAATAATAATAAAAATAGAAAAAAGCATATAGGATAAGGATATAAAGAAAGGAAATATTTTTGTGCAGCCATATAATGTGTAGTTTAAGCTAAGTATTATTACAAAAGAGCCAAGAAGTTTAAAAAAATTTTAAGTTTATAAAATAAAAAAGTTATAGTAAACCAAGTTTAATTTATTATTGAAGAAAGAAAAATATTTCTATAAATTTAGTGTAGCCTAAGTGTATAGTGTTTATAAAGTCTATAGTAGTGTACAGTAATGTCCTAGGCCTTCATATTTATTTACCACTCAATTGCTGACTGACTCACTCAGCACAATTTCCAGTCCTGCAGGCTCCATTCATGGTAAGTGCCCTATAAGTTGTACTATTTTTTATGTTTTATATTGTGTTTTTACTGTTCATTTTTTTTTTTTTTGAGACAGAGTCTCCCTTATTGCCCAGGCTAGAGTGAGTGCCATGGCATCAGCCTAGCTCACAGCAACCTCAAACTCCTGGGCTCAAGCAATCCTGCTGCCTCAGCCTCCCGAGTAGCTGGGACTACAGGCATACGCCACCATGCCCAGCTAATTTTATATATATATATTAGTTGGCCAATTAATTTCTTTCTATTTATAGTAGAGACGGGGTCTCACTCTTGCTCTGGCTGGTTTCAAGCTCCTGACCTCGAGCAATCCGCCCGCCTTGGTCTCCCAGAGTGCTAGGATTACAGGCGTGAGCCACCATGCCCAGCCTACTGTACCTTTTCTATGTTTAGATATGTTTAGATACACATATACTTACCATTGTGTTATAATTGCCTACAGTATTCAATACAGTAATGTGCTGTGCAGGTGGGTAGCCTATGAGCAATACGCTAGACCACATAGCCTAGGTGTGTAGCAGGCTATACTACTTAGCTTTGTGCAAGTTCATTCTATGATGTTCATACAAAGACGAAATCACCTAATGATGCATTTTTCAGAATGTATCCCCATTGCTAAGCAAGACGTGACTATATATCAAATATAAGGTATGCGTATTACTGAGAGTAAGATTGCCACTGCAGTGTGGTATTCAGAATATGGGCTCATATCACAGTCCAAATATTCTTTCCCTCAAGTATTTTTTCAAGTCTCAGGAAATAAGCAGGTACACAAAACAACCCCTGCTGAGATGAACAAGCGTGGTAAACTTGTGACTCTGTATTACATAGGGTGGTTTCCTGCCAGATGCCGCCTGATTTGACCCCCTTTCTCACCTCGACCCCACACGAGGCCCCTTCCTCCTGATCTCTCCACCATGGGGATCAGCAACGGAGTAAGGCTCAGATGAACTGACAAATGTTTGTTTCACACATTCACTGACAATCCTTTTCTACAGTTGAAAGTTTGATAGATCATTACTTAAAATGTCACCACATCAGGGTGGGTACAGTGGCTCATGCCTATAATCTCAGCACTTTGGGGGGGGCAAGGTGGGAGGATTGCTTGAGGCCAGAAGTTTGAGACCAGCCTGGGCAACACAGCAAGAGCCCATCTCTATAAAAGTTTTTAATTAGCCAGGTGTGGTGGCACGCATCTGTAGTCCTAGCAACTCAGGAGGCTGAGGTCCAAGGCTTGCTTGAGCCAAGGAGATTGATGCTGCAATGGACCATGATGATGCCACTGCACTGCAGCCCGGGTGACAAAGTGAGACCCCATTTCTTATAAAAACAAAAAAGAAAATGTAAAAGGGATGTATCAAAATGTCAGCTGCACCAAAGAAGATAGTGTCATGGAAGCTACAGGAAAGGAACGTTTCAAAACTCTGGATGGTTAACAGTGTTCCCTGCTGATGGGTACGTTAGATTTAGCCCTAAGGCAGTGATTGGTCCCCTTGGCCAGAGCTCTCAACAGAATGGTGGGAGAAGGATCCAGATTCAGTGGATTGAGTGGTGAGAGGAAGGAAAAAGTAAGTAAAGGCTGTGAGTGTGGACACATCCTTTAAGCAGTCTGGCTCTAAGGAGACAAGAAACAGGGGATGGTAACTAGAGAGGCGGATGTTGATGAATGAGGGTCTCCTTAAAATAGGAGAAACTCATGGGTATTTAAGTCACTGCTTAGAAGCCAAATCCACACTCTACCTCTGGGCCACAGGAACTCCAGGGGCCCAAGACTGTTTGTATTCCCAGAGTTCATTCCTCTGAGGACCCCAAACCAGGCTGTACATGCAGGGAGAAGAGAGAGGACCCCCTAACAAAGGCAGGTTGGTCCCATTAAGTTACACAGTAGAGTGATACATCCTTAGATCCATTCCCAGTGATGCTGTCCAGGGGGGGTGGATGGGGTAGGTCCCTGGTGGGGGAGGAGGGGCTCTGTGAAGGTAGAACTGGAGCAGAGTGAAGCTGGAGACTGTGTTGCCTTGATCTCTGCCCTAGATGACCAGCTACCTGGGACTTCCCCAGCCACCTCACTGCTTCCTGCTGAAAACAGTAGGGATTGGAAGAGGAACTGTCACCTGGCACCTTTGGACAATTGCCATGGCAACCACAAGCCAGGCATTTTATTCCGGTCATTGCCTGGGAGCGGTCCACCCACATGTCTTGTTTTCCAGTGTTATGGGCTTGTTATATTGTACAGCTTCCTGCCCTCCACCTTCTTCTTACAAAACAAGGTTCTTTAGCTGCTGTCTTTCTCTGATGCCTGGAAGTATTTTGCTCTGGTGTGTCTGAAATATGAGACTTTTCATGAAAGTGCACAATAAACAATCTGAAATTGAAACTGATCCAGTAAGGAGTGTTGGAATTAAGGAAAGGCAGTGGAGGTGTCCCACAAGGAGAGTAGGCCCATGCCAACAAAGTCTGCCTCTCCTGCTCCCAGCTCTAGGGCATCTCCCTCCTCTCCATGAATGGGCTTAGGATGCTGCAGGGGACATGGTTAACACCTGGACCAAACTGACACATGACCCAGTGAGTTTCAAGATGGACTGGGCCACATCTATCATTCTTCCCCACCCTCAACCACAGGACTACTGATAGCCCCTACCCACAAGAATCACAGGCCTTTGCTGCCCCCAAAAGACAAAACAGGACCTGAGTCAACAAGGAGCAGAAACAAGGACCACATATTGTGGACTAGGTGGACTCCAGGTACTCTGGTTTAGTGTAGTGGTTCTCAGATTGACCACATAATAGAACTATCCTAGCACTCTGGGAGGCCGAGGCGGGTGGATCTTTTGAGCTCAGGAGTTCGAGACCAGCCTGAGCAACAACGACACCCCGTCTCTACTAAAAACATAGAAAGAAATTAGCTGGACAACTAAAAATATATAGAAAAAATTAGCCAGGCATGGTGGCACATGCCTGTAGTCCCAGCTACTCGGGAGCCTGAGGCAGGAAGATCGCTTGAGCCCAGGAGTTTGACGTTGCTGTGAGCTAGGCTGACGCCACGGCACTCTAACCCGGGCAACAGAGTGAGACTCTGTCTCAAAAAAAAACACACAAAAAAAACAATGTCTGGACCCCACCATAGCATATTTAAATTCAGTTAAAGTGGAGCCGGGGCATCAGTGATTTTTCTTAAGTATTTGAAGTATGGATTACCACTGGCTGCTTGAATAAGTGCCCAAGCTCAGCAGCCAGAGCTCTAGCTACAGCTCCTGGTCCCATGGTATTTGTGTGACCTTGGGCAAGTTACTCAACATCTGTGATCCTCCATTCCTTCAGCTGTAAAACAGTGCCTGCCTAATGGAGATGTGGAGTGGATCAAATGAAATAATGCATGTCAGTGCTTGGCATTGTGCCTCGCACGTAGCTAAGTGCTAAAAATCTTATTCTTGTTGCTAGAACAGCAGTTCTTACTACTCTAGGATCCAGAATTGGAGGTATCTAAGTAAGAAATTACCACTTCCTATGACCAGGGGCCAAGACCCGTCCTTTTCCCAGGGTAGGGTTGAAGAAGAGTCTGTCAGAGCCAGGGTCAAGGGTATGCACCCTGCATGCTGACCTTTGGTTGCTCTAACATTCTAGCCCAGCACCATCCGTTCTGAGATGATGGAAATAGTCCTCTATCTGTGCTGACAATATGGTAGCCACTAACCACATGGGGCTGTTTAGCACTTGAAATGTGGCTAGTGTGACTGAGGAATTCAAAAATTATATTTAATTTTAATTCATTTAAAGTTAAAAACCTACATGCAGCTGATAGCTACAGTATTGGAAAATGTGGGTCTAGACATGTATGTGTGTTGAGGATAAGAGTAAATAAAGACATAAAGAAAAATAGCCTGACCAAGCATTTTCCCCTCTACTGTCTCATTTGAGCCTCACAAAGTCCCACAAAGGATCTACAACAGACATTGATAACCCCATTTCATAGGTTAGGAAACTAAGTCTCAGGGATGTTAAAAGACCTTTCCCAGGTCACGAAGAGAGTTAGAGGCACAGCCAAAACCAGAGCCAGGCCGATTTCCAGACTCCAAGCCCACCTGCTGGGAAACGCTTTCTGGTCATGGGAGCCTCTCACACCAGCCTCCAGCTCCTGTGAAGGTCTCTGAGCAGCCTCTCCCTCAGACCCTCGGCCGACTCTGGGCCCACACCTGCCCCGCTGTCCCCCGCGCTACCCACCTGGAAGAGCTCCTGCAGCTGAGCACCTACCCACTGCTCCATGTCCAGCCAGCGCTGGAGCTGCCCCCAGTCGTACTTCACCGTCAGCCGGCTGGGTCTCCGGGACCTGGACACCCTGGAGGGGTCTGAGTGGGACTTGGACTCTGAGTCTGTGGATGATGTCCTCCTCCTCCCAGAAGCCCACTGGACCTTCTTACTTGGGTTCTCCTTGTCTGGGTTGGGAGACGTGCAGGAAGCAGGGCTTGAAGACAGCATGGAAGGATTGGACTGAGCCAGAGGCTGGGAAAACATGCTAGGCAGAGGAAGGGCACAGAATGAAGTGAGGAGATGGCAAACAGAGGGAGAGGCCTGCAGGGAAAAAAGGAAGGCAGGAGGAGGGCCAAGGCTCCCAGGGAGGGGTGGGGGTCAAAGATCAACAGGGCTTTGGTGCTAGGAATGCCAGTCTCCTGGCTCCTCACAGCCAGCCAGCAAGTGGCACTCCAGAGCCGTGCCCAGCATTCCTTCCTTCAGCTGCTGGGCCCAAAGGGACATAAACTGCAGGTGAGCAAAGGTCAAGAGGCTGCCCTGCCCAGGGAGGAGGAAGAGGCCCTTGGGTCCTAAGGGGTTTAGGGCTCCAATCAGTGCTCTGTGGCCAGATCTGGAACAAGACCTGAGGTTGTTCTCACCTGAGATTCCCCCTGCATCCCACCTTCCTGGGACTAGATCCACTCTGACCCCCAGGAAGCTATGGTCAGACAGATCCCACTGGAGCAGGATCCCTGGCGGGCAGGGGTTCCTGTTCAGAGTACAGCTCTGCTGTGGACAGAGTCTTGGCTGGTGGATGGAGTTGGAGGGTCGTTATCCATGGCCCTCATGGGACCAGTGCCCCCTCGTGTCTGGGTGTGTTTGAATGTGTCAGCCTGGCCCTGTGTGTTTGTAAAGGCAAATTTATCAAGCCTGGTCTACCTGCCTGTTCCCCTGAAGCAACTGCTTAGGAACCACATTTATTATCACATGACACCCCCCTCCCCCATGCAGATACTTCCTGACACAGATGAAATCTGCAGACCTAACTTATACCCAGGTGTCAAGGACTAATATTATACTTCCAGACATACTCGCATTCTAAAAGTAGGCTATTTTTGTTTGTTTAGTCCTTTGTAAGAAAAATTTCTCAACTTTTTTTTTCTGATATGTAAAGAGCTTAGAACAACTTTTTTTTTAAGTTACAAAATAGAACATTAATTTTTTAAAAAGTAAACAGCTTTGAAGGGCAAACAAATGAAAAAGGATGGTTTCTCTCTTCTTCCCAGAGGCAACCCTCACAGACAGCTTCTGTTTTTAGTTCTCCTGCAATCACCGTTATCCTTTATATAATATCTCTCTGAATTTGTCAATTAGATGGTATATCTTGTCTCCTCAATACGAAGGCTGAGAAATCAACTCACTCACACTAACTCCTCATCACCTTTACTGTCTACATTCCGATTTTTATTTATATACTTTTTAGGTCTTGTAGTGGTTGCGTTTATGACATTGAGTTTCTGTTTCCAATGTATCAACTTCAACTATTATACATTGACTCATAAAAGAGAGCTTTAGAAAAAGGCCAATGGATGAGTATTTAACAATGGAACTTTGCGCCCTAAGTTAACAAGGTGGGGAGGTGTTTGAGGATGGCAGCCTGGGGAAGCCCAGGCTTTGAAGGAAGGCTGACAGATCTGGCTGGGGTTTTGACCTGCCTTGCTTTTATAACCTTGGCCAAGTTTCATAACCTCCTTGAGTTGGTTTTCCCATCTGCAAAATGGAATTGTTGGGAAGACAAAATAACTTGATTTGTTTATATGAATAAGTATATTATTTATTATTATATTTATTATTATTTATCATTATATTATTTATTAATTTATTAATATTTTATTAATTATATTTATTAATATATTATTATTTATTATTATATTTATTATTATTTGTTTATTCATATAAACAAATCAAGCATGGCATCCAAAACAGAGTCCCTTCTTAGTAGACATTCATTCCTTCCTTTATTTACCTTTCCATTCCCCCTGCCTCCTGGTGAGGCTCTGGTCGCCAAAGGCTGGCCCCAGGCTTCACCATGGTGGCCCTTTTCCTGCCCCTCTTTGGCAGAGGGCAGAGATGAGCAGCAAGAGGGAGGCCTCTAACATGCAGCCTGTGGATTCAGCTGTCACTTCGACATTCTGTGAGCAGCAGGCATTATTATGATAGTCCCCTCCCTCTTCTATTTCCTACCTTCCAAAGGGTTTGAGAGCCCTTTCAGGAAGAGGAACCAGATCAGAAGTGTCATTGGGTTTTGTTAATTCACTAACTAACTCATTTAACAAGGATTTTATGAGCTCCCCTAGTTTGCCAATCATTATGCCCAGTACTAGGGACTGGTGCTCCAAAAGAGATATAGTCCCTGACTTCATGGAACTTATGCTCTAGTGTGAAAATAAAGACTAATCAACTAATCAAATAAATGTAAAGTTGCAACTTCATTTAGTGACTTGAAAAAAAGGTAGGAGGTGCTATAAGAATATCTAGTGAGAGTGTAATCTAGAGAGTGATGACATCTGACCTAAGTTCTAAAGGATTAGTAGGAGTTAACTAGGCACAAGAGCCAGCAAGAATAGCAGCAGGCAGCAGGCAGAGGATATGCAAAGGCCCTGTGGCAGAAGGGAGTTGGGAGTGAGTGCAAGGGACTAAGAGAGGGCTAGTGGGACTGGAACAGAGGAGGGAGGGAAAAGTGGGCCATGAGTCAGAAGAAGGGGTGGAGGTACCCACACCAGGACCCTGTGAGCCACGTTGAGGAGTTTTGTCTCTGTCCTAAGGGCACTGGGCTGTCACTGAAGAGTCTTAAGCAATGGTGGTTGGGCAGGGTGATATGTTCAGATTTAAATTTCCAAAAGATCACCCTGGCTGTTGTATGGAAAGAGCATCAGAGTGCATAGAAGGGCTGGTCGAGACAAGTTAGGAGGCCATTGCTGTAGGGCTTGACTGAGAGGTGGCACTATTGATGACAAGAGGTAGACAGATGGAGGAACTATCTCGAGGGTAATATTTAACAGAACTTGGTAGTGAATTGGGGACACACAAATATAAAACATGAATACCTACACAGGGACAGACAGATGTATGCACAGAGTCCCTGTGAGTTTATTTCATCTGTAAACTAGCAGTTGAGGAGAGTCTATATGAGCGTGCAGCATGGATGTTGTAAAGCTCAATGTCCAGTTACTTATAGTGTAATTATTTAATTACATTCTTTCATCTCAGCATTGACCCACATCTCCTCATGGCCTATGTGTGTCATCATTCATTAGTGAGTTTGCCCAAGATAAGGGAGCACAAGACCCAAGATAAGAGGAGAGGAAACAGCCATGGGGACCACACAGCCACATACATCAGGGCAAGGAAGCAAACAGGGCACCAGCCTGGGCAGAAGGGAGGGTGTCTGCCAGATCTCCTGGCCTGGCCCACGTCCAGAGCTGGGATAAAATAGGCAGCAGCAGACTCCAGCAAACCAGGCTGCTCTTAAATGCCTTTACTTTCTTTTATTAATAATTTTATTATAGAAGAAAAACATGTTTATTTTAGAAACCTTAACAATTTTTCTAAAACATTAAAAATTCCCCATAATCCCACCAGACAAAAACCACTACTACTAATATGAGGACAAATTTCTTTTTAGTCTTTTTTTTCTATGCATAAATACTTAACTTAGTTAAATGCTATATACAGGCCAGGTATGATGGCTCATAATCCTGGCACTTTGGAAAGCTGAGGCAGGAGGATTCCTTGAGTCCAGAGACCAGCCTAGGCAACATAGTGAGATCCCGTCTCTTCCAAAAAGAAAAATTTTAAACTTAGCCAGGCATGGTAGCACATGCCTGTAGTCCCAGCTGCTTAGGAGGCTGAGGTGGGAGGATCCCCTGAACCCAGGAGTTTGAGGTTGCTGTGAGCTATGATGATGCCTCTGCATCCCAGCCTGGGCATAGAGCGAGACCGTGTCTCAAAAAAAAACCCAAAAAATCCCCAAACCTACATATTCTCTTATGCCATAGAAGGTGATGCATCAACATTGTTCTTTTTTTTTTTTTGAGCAGAGTCTCACTTTGTTGCCCAGGCTAGAGTGAGTGCTGTTGCGTCAGCCTAGCTCACAGCAACCTCACACTCCTGGGCTCAAGCAATCCTGCTGCCTCAGCCTCCGAGTAGCTGGGACTACAGCACGCGCCCCATGCCTGCTAATTTTTTTATATATATAGGTTGGCAATTAATTCTTTCGTATTTATAGTAGAGACGGGTCTCACTCTGCCAGGCTGGTTCGAACTCCTGACCCAAGGAATCCCGCCTCAGCCTCCCAATGTAGGATTACAGGCATGAGCCACCACGCCCGGCCAACATTGTTTCTCACAAATTTAAGAAGAATTGATTTTGAGGACAGAGACAGAGAGCCTGAAGAGCAATGGCACATGAATATAAAAGTCAAAAGCTGCTAGCAGACAAGGAACAGACATTGCCTAGAGTTTGTTGAGAATGTCGCAAGAGATGAAAATGAAAAATGTGGTGTGTTTATTTCAGCCAGTATGATTGACGCATGGACTCCATGCACTCTAGCCTGGGCAACAGAGTAAGACCTTGTTTCAAAAAAACAAATATATATATTTTTTTCAGATATTTTTGTTTATTTAGTAGTTTTTTAGATATCTTTTGTTAACACTGCAGGTTTTCAAAATTTGGACCATGAATTAGAGTAAGAAATTTAATATCACAACATATACATGTATAAATATGAAATGAAGGCCGGGCACGCTGGCTCATTCCTGTAATCCTAGCATTCTGGGAATCCGAGGTGGGAGGATCGTTCAAGGTCAGGAGTTTGAAACCAGCCTGAGCAAGAGCGAGACCTGTCTCTACTATAAATAGAAATAAATTAATTGGCCAACTAAAAATATATAGAAAAAATCAGCCAGGCATGGTGGCGCATGCCTGTAGTCCAGCTACTTGGCAGGCTGAGGCAGAAGGATTGCTTTAGCCCAGGAGTTGGAGGTTGGTGTGAGCTAGGCTGACGCCACGGCACTCTTGCACGGACAACAGAGTGAGACTCTGACTTAAATATATATATATATATATGTATGTGTATATATATATATATATATAATGAAAATTTCTTTTTTTTTTTTTTTTTTTTGAGACAGAGTCTCTCTTTGTTGCTCAGGCTAGAGTAAGTGCCGTGACATCAGCCTAGCTCACAGCAACCTAAATCTCCTGGGCTCAAGTGATCCTCCTGCCTCAGCCTCCTGGGTAGCTGGGACTACAGGCATACGCCACCATGCCCGGCTAATTTTTTCTATATATATTTGTTGGCCAATTAATTTCTTTTTATTTATAGCCGAGACGGGGTCTCGCTCTTGGTCAAGCTGGTTTCAAACTCCTGACCTCAAGCAATTGGCCCGCCTTGGCCTCCCAGAGTGCTAGGCATGAGCCACCGTGCCCGGCCTAAAATGAAAATTTCTTATGAAGCAAAACTTGTCCTTACTCTGATATTTTTAATTCTATTCCATTTTATTTTTTCCAGTGCTACTGGCAAGTCACTTTATTGTTTTCAAGACTCACTAATGGTTTCCAAACTGTTCTATCAGAGGTAATTCCATAATTTAGCCACTCAATTCTGTGATGTATGGATTGCTACCAATTTGTTACTATAAACAGTGCTGCTCTGAACATCCTTGTAACTGTTTCTTTGTTAGCATCCATGATTTCCCTTAAGAGAATTTTTTAGAGGTAGAGCTACACAGTTAAAGGATGTACAAAATTATAAGGGGGGGGGAGTTGATATTTATGGTCATTTAGTTCCCTAAAAGGTTGACCAAATAAACTCCACATAGTTTGAAATCCTAATTTTTTTCAGTTAATGAATACATTAGTTATCTTTTGCTGTATAACAGATCAACCCCAAATTTATCAGCTTCAAATAACAAGTGTTTGTTATCTTACTGTTTCAGTAGGTGAGGATTCTGGGAGTTGCTCAGCTGGGTCTGGCTCAAGGCCCCCCATAAGGCCGCAGTCATCGTGTCAGCCAGAACAAGAGTCACCTTGAGGCTCTGCTGGTGGAGGAGTCACTTTCAAGCTCACTCATGTGGGTGTTGGCA